CAACAGGGTGAGCCAATCAATAGGGTCAGGACCCAAACTGAGGAAACGTCAACTTCGGGGAGGAAAGGCACTCCAGCACCCACTCCTTCCAAATAGTCATAGGATGAGAAAATATATCAAGAATACATTTGTTTTTTGACAAAGAATTTCACAGGGTGATCTGTTGACTTTATCCATCTTTATTTTGGTGCTATTATGTGTCTGTCTTTTATTTAAAGGCCATTCGTGGTACTTAGTTAATATTATACATTCCACATTGTGAAATAAGTTAAACAATGGGGAAATGATCTTTTATGTAACAGTTAACTTGCATTCCCATAAAAGATAATGAGTCTAAATATCTCTCACCTAAAGAAATAGTTAAAAATGGAAGTTGGCAGTCAACACACAAGGGCTAAATGGCTGTAAGAACTTTCATCTTCAAAACAAGGTACTAAGTCTTTAAATGGATTTTCCCTTTCAGTCAGTCCGTCAACAAATACTTATCAGTCTACCATATGCCGAGGGCTGTGCTAGTGCTGGGGTACAATGATGAACAAGATAGATAAAGACCAAACAAAGAGGGGATTAAGACAAAGGAACAGGGGAGAGATTCGGTTTTTTAATTCATTAAGAACTATTTGAGACAGAATAGTCAAGAATGACCTCTCTGAGGCTGACTGTTTAAACTGATGTTTAAACTGAAACTGAAGCAAATGCAGTCTTTGAAGTGATGAAGCACAAGGGAGACGGGTGTGGTGTGTGTGTTCGGTGGTGGAGGGTGTCCAAAATGAGCCTGGAGAACTAGCTGGAAGACATTGATGGGTTTTAAGCAGGGAAGGAACATGATCTCGCTGCATAGGGCGGGAAGGGGAAGCAAGGAAATGAGTTAACAGAGCATATTTGCATAGTCTTGCAAGATGCAGAAGGCTTACACAGGGTGCTAGTTGATAGGGTGATAGCACATAGATTTACGATGTATTTTGAAGTGGAGGCAACAGGACTTAAAAATAATTTGACATGGGGATGGAGTTGAGAAAAAGATTATCCAGGACTCCCAGGCTTCTGGCTGAGGATCATGTCCCTCAGTTTATTTCCTTCAAGTCACTTACCACAATTAAAGCAACTTAAGCCATTATCTTGTTATTTTATTTGTTTAGTTGTTTACTCTGTCCATCAAGAATAATGCTGTCCAATTGAAAAGTAATGCGTGATCCAGTAATCCCACTCCTGGGCATATATTCAAAGAAAACCATAATTCAAAAAGATACATGCACCCCAGTGTTCACAGCAGCACTATTTACAATAGCCAAGACATGGAAGCAACCTCAGTGTCCACTGACAGATGAATGGATAAAGAAGATGTGGTACATATATACAATGGAATATAACTCAGCCTTAAAAAAAAATGAAATAATGCCATTTGCCGCAAGAGGGATGGACATAGAGACCATCATATTAAATGAAATAAGATGGAAAGAAAAAGACACATATCATATGATATCGCTTATATGTTAAAAAAAAAAAAGATGCAGATGAACTTATACACAAAACAGAAATAAATAGACTCACAGACATAGAAAACAAACTTATGGTTACCAAAGGGGGAAAAGGGAGGGGAGGGATAAATTAGGAGTTTGGGATTAACATATACACACTACTATATATAAAAGAGATAACCAACAAGGACCAACTGTACAGCACAGGGAACTATACTCAATATTTTGTAATAACCTATAATGGAAAAGAATCTGAAAAAGAATATATAGATATATATATAAAGCATACATATATGTATAACTGAATCACTTTGCTGTACAACTGAAATTAACACAGAATTGTAAATCAATTCTACTTCAACTTAAAATTTAAAAAAAAGTAATGCAAAACACATAGGTAATTTTAAATTTGCTAGTAGTCACATTAAAAAAAGATGTGAAATTAGTTTTCATGATATATTTTACTTAAACCGACATATCCATAATATTATTTCAATAAGCAAACAAAATAAGAAATAATGAGAGGGGCTTCCCTGGTGGCACACTGGTTAAGAATCCACCTGCCAATGCATGGGACATGGGTTTGAGTCCTGGTCCGGGAAGATCCCACATGCTGCAGAGCAAACTAAGTCCGTGTGCCACAGCTACTGAGCCTGCGCTTTAGAGCCCGCGAGCCACAACTACTGAAGCCCATGCGCCTACCGCCTATTCTCCGCAACAAGAGAAGCCATCGCAATGAGAAGCCCACACACTGCAACGAAGAGTAGCCCCCGCTTGCCGCAACTAGAGAAAGCCCGGGTGCAGCAATGAAGACACAGCACAGCCAAAAATAAATAAGTAAAGTAAATTTGTAAAAAAAAATAATGAGAGATCTTACTGTTCTTTCTGTACTGAGTCTTCAAAATACAGTGTGTATTTTACACTGACAGTGCACCTCAGTTCCGACTAGCCACATTTCAAGTCCTTAATAATTGCCTGTGGCTAGTGGCTATGTACTGGACAGTGCAGATCTGGAGCAAGAGCCACTGAAGGCAGGCACATTCAGTCTAGTTCACTGTTTCTCTCCAGCAACTGAAACGTTCAGTGGCACACTGAGAATTTGATATGTTTTGAATGAATGAATAAATGCCTGGTGATGGGGGGGTTTATTGGAAGCTGTAGTTTTGGGAGTGGGTTCAAAGCTTCCATTTTGGACTTGTTAGGTATGAGGTGTCTACAAAACCTCACAGTGAGATGTCAAGAAAGGAAGTGGAGATGAGAATCTGGGACTGAGAAGAGAAATCTAGGTAGAGGTGTCATTTTGGCATCTTGATGGGTTCTGAATCCAAGGGAATTATTTCCGGGTTGCCTTGGGAAAGAGGGCAAGAGAAAAGGAAAAGCCTAGGATCCTACTCGCAGAGATACCAAGTTAAATGTTGAGAATGTTGAGTGAGAGAAGAAGAAAATCAAGAAAGTGTGGTCATGTCAAGAAATCAAAAAGGAAAAGCCAGGATCCTACTCGCAGAGATACCAAGTTAAATGTTGAGAATGTTGAGTGAGAGAAGAAGAAAATCAAGAAAGTGTGGTCATGTCAAGAAATCAAAAGGGCAAGCGTTTCAAGGAGAAAGGAGTAGTCAACCCTACTGAAAGGTCTGGTTAAAAAATAATAAAAGAACAAAGAAGACAAGAACAATGAGATCTTAATAATCCTGACACTCATTCCACAGTCATGATCTCTTTTTAGCCTTCCTTATAATGCTTTTAGTCAGAGAATGATTGGGGTTTCTTTTTAACACAAAATTTGAACATTTTAAAGAAGTTTAGCCTCCAAAAGATCAAGAAACCCAGCTAGTTTATGGAAGAACCAGCTCAAGAATCCAAGACGCTTAGTCCAGCATTATTTAAAGAACATACTTTAAAGCACTGGAAATAACAAGGGAACATGGAGGTTTAAGGAGGGAGCGTGACTGTCTGTGACTTCACCAGGTCTAGGTGGTTTGAGAGCAGGAATACCCCTCTTTCAAGTATGGAACTAGCCCAAGGTTACGTGATTGGGATTTGTTGCAAGTTTCCTAAGTACCTTCTGCCCTTCACTGATAACAGTTAGAATTCTTAACACACTGTTCGTCATAGAACTCCATTTCTCAACCTGTCTTAGGCAATGTTATTCTACTACTCCTGCAGGGCATTAATATTAATTAAAAACAACTTTATTCAAGGAAACGGTCAGTTACAAACATTTAGCAAGTGTGTTCTTATGGGTAAATCAGGCTTTCTCTGCTGTCTTTCAAAACACACGGAATGAAATGATCTTAAACTCTATGGCTAAGTAGTTGCGGGACCCTGAGCGAGACTTTACCTTTCCTGTACCTAGCTGTTCTCATCTACAAAACAGAGGGGTTAAACCAGATGATCTCTACTTTGTAGATCATAATTTATGATTTAACGTTATAGTTAATTAGGTTTCCTTCTGTCCACATGTTTAACTTCAAATTTGATCAGTGTGAGAAGATCATCCTAAAGTAGTCAAAAAACCTAGGAATGAATTCCAAGGTCACCATCAGGTAGATCTGCAATCACTGTCCCCGTGTGTTAAAGGGGATGGTAACTCTCAGGCTCATCTCCCACACGGCTGTTTTGAAGACTGAACCAGATAAGTCAAGTGAGTGTTTTGTAATCTGTATAGTTTCAGAGAAATTAGAAGTGCAATTATTGTTAAAGCGGATGTCTGAAACACGGTATATATTATCCCTCCCAACAAATAACAGGCTGAGCCCCTGTTATTTATCCTTAGGGCATAAGACTTGTTACTTTTGCTGAGTAGATTATGGTATAGGAATATGCTCAAAATGAGAATGGAGATGAACCTCCTGATGTCTCCAGAGAGCGCCTCTCTTTGAATGTTTACAAGAAAATAATGGGAGAAAGAAAGAGGGAAGGAAGGCAGGAAGAGAGGGAGGGAGGGAGGAAGGAAAGAAGAAAGAAAGAAAGAAAGAAAGAAAGAAAGAAAGAAAGAAAGAAAGAAAGAAAGAAAGGAAGGAAGGAAGGAAAGAAGGAAGGAAGGAAGAAAGAAAGGAAGGAAGGAAGAAAGAAAGGAAGGAAGGAAGAAGGAAAGAAGGAAGGAAGGAAGGAAGGAAGGAAGGAAGAAAGAAGGAAAGAAAGAAAGAGAAAGAAAAAGAAAGAAAGGGAGAGAGAGAAAGTGGGAAGGAGGGAATTCACAGGCAGAGGAGGAAGAAAGGCCATGGCAAGGCAAATTTAAGGAAATAAAAGGCGAGTTAGGAGAAGTAACAGGGGTGGGGAGGCGAAGTGGGCAGCAGGGCAGGAACAGGAGCCAGTTAGACCGGGGGCGGGGGGCTGGGGTGGGTGGCGACTCAGTGGCTAAAGTCTCGGTGGCTAGTCCAGCCACTTGCCAGGCAGGCACCAGGCGGAGGAGGAGGGTGAGGGTGGGGCTTGGCGAAGGGCAAAGGCTGGGCAAGACTTAAAAGGGAGATGACCCTGGCTAGTTGGTGCCGCCTTTGACCTCCGACGCCCGGGGCAAGGGGACCCAACGGGGGAAAACGGGAGAAAAGGGCCACCGCTGAGCCAGTCCCGCGGGCTCGCGAGAGAGGCGAACGGACCGGAGAGGGGAGACCCCTGGGGGCGCCCGGCACCCCGCCAGCATGTGCGAGCTATACAGGAAGCAAGACACCCTTGCGCTGAGGAGGAAGCACATCGCGTGAGCGCTCCCCAGCCCCGAGGAAAGGCGCAGAGAGGGGGAAAATCACCGCCGCGGGGGCCGCAGAGCCGCAGCGGGGCAGGGGGCGGGCCAGCGGGCGGCTGCCGGCGGGGTGCGGGACCGTCACCCGCCCGCCGCACCTGCGCGCGCGCGCCGCCGCCCGCCCGGAGCGCCCCGCCTCGCCTCCGCCCAAGGGGGCTGCCGACCAGCCGGCTCCAGAGCGGTCCCCGCGCTCTGCAGCCCGCCGAGGGGGTGAGGGCTGCCGGCCGGCCGGCTGGGGGAATTGACCGTGAAGGTTGAGAGCCATTGAAGTAGAGCACCGTTCCAGCGATGGGCTCTGGGAGGGAGACGGGTAGCTCTCCGCCGCTCCCACCACCTCGAAAGTTTTAGAAAACTGAACTGCGAAATATTTTTGACGATGGCAATGAAAACTCATTATGACAACTTTTGTTTAAAGTGAACTTTTTCTTCTTGCACGCTTGGTTAAGAAGTAAAAGGTTAATCCAGCCAGTAAAAAAACTTTGAAACCACTTTCTTAAGCGTAAGATACCACTTACTCACCTTGGTCTCCCCAGCTGTGCCCTCATTACAATTTAAAGATGCAGTGTTTTCTCCGGTCTACTTTTGTTTTACTCGTGTTATAGACGACTTGGTGAGCGTACAGGACCGAACCTTAGGTCAGACCTGGGCTCTGGTTCTAGTAGTGTCAAGTTACCTTGTGATCTGATTTGAGAATTGATCTGATCTCAACCCAGGAGGTTTCTAGGTGGTTTAGGAGACTAGTTATATCTCTCTCAACCCCCGCAATAGGGTCAAAATGGTCACCTCCTTCCCTTTTTCTAATCAGCACTCCTTTCTGTTAGTTTTCAATCCTATATAGTTAGATTCCAATGAAAACCTAATGATTTCTGACGTGAGCAGAACAAATTCTGTGAAAGGAGGAATGGTAGCCATGGAATGACTGAGAAAGAATTTCACCTGAAGTCTGAGTGAGAAGATGGGAGGTACATTAACAAGGAGGCAAGGTGAAGTCCGAAGTTTTCAGCCCACATTCATAACGAAGGGTTTTTCTGGATTTTAACTTGTAGGTATAAACTAACAGCTGAATTTGAACCAAGAAGAAATTCTCATTAAATATTAGTTTCATCTTAGCTGATGATGCTTAATCTTAGGCAATTTTAAAATTTAATTACCTATTCACAATAATCACAATACTTTCTAAACAGTTGCATATCCATTTAATATGTATCTAATTACCCTCTAAACTACCTCCAATGCATGTGGTATTTTTTGTGCATGCAAAATCACCAAAATAAAAATAATATTTTGTTTTAGTTTCTAAATGTCCATAGAACCGAGTTCAGAAATCTTTGTGATGTTTCTATGTTGCTAAAATCTGTACTCCAGCAAGCCATCCAAATAACCAAAAATATGGATGACTTTTTATTATGCTGAAAAGAGTGAGTTAAAGGGTTAGAATAATAATTGGATTTTATTATTTAAGAAAGGGAAATCCATTTGATGCAGGACAAATACAAATCAAAAGACATGAAAATGATCTGTAAAATCTCCTGCGTAGTATTTAACACTAAGTTATTTGTATTTAGCTTTTAGTGCTATTCATTTCTCTACAAATTAGATTAGAGGGAGAGATTAGATTAGCAAGCAAGCCCTGTTTTGGGCTATGGCATAAGACAGTCTACCTTTTTTTTTTTCTTCCAATTTTATTGATATATAATTGACATACAGCACTGTATAAGTTTGAGTTGCACAGCATAATGATTTGACTTACATTATGAAATCATTATCCCAATAAGTTTAGTGAATATCCATTTCATATTGATACAAAATTAAAGAAATAGAAAAAAAAATTTTTTACCTTGTGATGAGAACTCAGGATTTGCTTTCTTAACAACTTTCATGTATAACATACAGCAGTGTTAATTATCTTTATCATGTTGTACATATAAATTATATCCCTAGTATGAGTTTTTCTATGAGTTTATTTTTGAAGTATAATTCACCTACAACACTATGTTAGTAACTATTACACAACATAGTGATTCAATATTTCTGTACCTTTCAAAATGTTCACCATGATAAATTTAGTTACGATCAAGACAGTCTACTTTCAAATTCTGGTTTTCTCACTGGCTGTGTAACCTTGAACCAAGCTTCTTAATTTTTCAGTGTCTGTTTCCTCAACTATAAAAATGAGAATGATAATAACTCATATTATTGTTGGGAGGATTAAATGAGATAATATTTGTAATAGCTGTCAGTTCCTGACACATAGGAAGGCTCAAAAAAAAAGTTTGTTTTTTTTCCTGGTTGAACAAAATTTCTCAAAGGAAAATTAGTTATTGGTTTGTGTAATTAGAGCTGTCAGAGTTGATCCTTGTGCTTCTAAATAGAGTTGTCAGATCATGGCAAATTTAATATAACAAGCATAAGAAATGTGAGCGGTATCACGGGTGGGGGATTAAGGTAAAAGGTACCAGGCTAAAATGAAATGAAAAAAAAAAAAAGTATGTCACCCAGGTTGTGTTTTCCCTTTCTTTTACATAATTGTAATTTTCCACTGATCGTGACCTTCATTGAGAAGGAAAAACACTGAGCAGTCCTACCAGACCAAAGTGTTTCCTTTCATTATTTCTAGGCCCTCCTGCAAAGTTTTCTTTGCTGCGGATCCCATCAAAATAGTGCGAGCCCAGGGGCAGTACATGTTTGACGAGAAAGGTGAACAGTACTTGGATTGCATCAACAACGTAGCCCATGGTAATGTGCTGTCTTTGTCGTGCCTTGAAGGCTACGTTTCTGGAGTAAGGCAGACTTGGCACCGTTGATATTTGTCCCAGGAGTTGCAGTGGCTGCAGTTCCTCGGCTGCACAGGGCCAGTAGTCCTAGGCGGGGAAAAGCTAGAACAAAATGTGGGAGAGCAACAGAATCAACCTTTTTTTTTTTTTTTGCTTGCTTCAGAATGCCCCTCACTTCCCAGGCATTTAGATTTGTAACTCATTTTGGGGACTTTTGTCTTCTAAATTTTAGTGGGACACTGCCACCCAGAAGTGGTCAAAGCTGCCCAGAAACAGATGGAACTACTAAATACAAATTCTCGATTCCTCCACGACAACATTGTTGAGTATGCCAAGCGCCTGTCAGCAACCCTGCCGGACAGACTCTCTGTTTGCTATTTTACAAATTCAGGGTATGTTCTGAGGTTTTCCACCCATCCCCATTCCCACCAATCTCTTTGTTTCCTCTCTTTTCTGTTTGATTGCTGGTGGAGTACAAATATCTAAAAAGGTTTCCTGAGATTCTTGCCGTTTACTAATGACCCCACATGGGGGACCTGACCATTCTGGTTCTTTTGCTTTGGCCCACCAGCCCTTTGTAGATAAGATACCTGGCAGCATGTTCCAGGACTCCTGACACAGCCTATAACAACAGTCCCATGATTAACAAGTGCACGCCACTCAGCTTTTTATTACCACAGCTTCCTTGGTGAAAGAAAGATGGGGAAAGCATACCCTTAAGTATCCCTAAAGGATGGATACTTGGGTTGTAACAAAATTTTGGCAAAAATATCCAAGTCTGGTGTTCATGTGAGAAAACCTAACTAGTCAAATGGCACCCACTTCTTTGGGCAATAGAGTAAGTAGCTAAAGAATCTAGATGAACCTAGATAGTTCTTTCAAAGCATGAATAAGGAATTTTGGCGAAAAAAGAACTGTACTAAACAAGTTATATAAGTATTATAAGATTTTTGATTGATTTGTTTCCTTAGGCAGTAAGAATTTCCCCAACACAAACACAAAGAAGGAATGAGTCAATTCAAGTGAATAGATATGTCCATTCTATGGAATATTATACAGACATTAAAAAGTATGTTTTTGAAAATACATGTTTAATGACAGGAGAAAAGCTCACCTGCACAATGTTATATTGGGAGGAAATCTGTCTATACAGCATAAATTTAAAATGATATATATGAATTAAAACGATTAGAAATCCTGTGAATGTTCTATTATGATTCTGTGATTCATTTTCTCTTTTCAGTGAGATACCTTAAAATCAAATAACCAGAAGATTGGTTTATAACCAGAAGATTTTTCTTTTTTCTTTGTAAAGAATTAGGACATTTTCGGATCTAATTTGTTCTTCTAAGGCATTCTTGCCTTCAATAAATTAAATATAATATTTGACTTTCACTTCTGAAGAATCCTATACTGCCAAAGAGTGATTAGCCTTAGAGAGAGAGCAGTGTCACCAAAGACTGGAGGTGACAGAACCTGGAGTAGTACAAAGAATAATCTCGAAGTTAAACAGACTTTGGAATCCTCAACTTTGTAAATAATAGTTTGAAAGATTTTTAAAAGGGCTTATGTCACATTGTCCCTTCTCTCTCTGCTCTCTTAATAGATCTGAAGCCAATGACTTAGCCTTACGCCTGGCTCGGCAGTTCAGAGACCACCAAGACGTGATCACTCTCGACCAGTAAGTCTTGAACACAAGACTTCTAAGCAGGAAATGCCTTCAGAGACAAAATTATATTGATCCTCTCCATACTAATACCATAAGCATGTATGGAGGAGGCTAGATGAATGGCACAAGGATTTTCTTTTTTGTTATGTATAGGTTTCAAGGCCAGCTCAGGCCTGAAGGACACTTAATTCCTTCCAAGTACTTGGAGGCTCTTTTGGGTGCTGTGGTCATGGTCTCATGGGCTTTGCATGAATCAGGGTTTACTTTTCACGCATTTAACTGTTAATTGAGCCACTGCAATGTGTGTGTAACTCCATCTTTTTCAGAATAAAAATATAATTTCTTAAAAATCCAAGCATTCATGTCACAATTGTGATTATTCACCTAATTAATTTAAAAGATAACAATTTAGAGCATATATTTTTTTCTTTTTTTGCCCACACCATGCACCTCGTGGGATCTTAGTTCCTCGACCAGGGATTGAACCCGGGCCCTTGGCAGTGAGAGTGTGGAGTCCTAACCACTGGACCACCAGGGAATTCCCTAGAGCAAATTTTAAAGACAACAGATAGCCAAGTAAAAATAGTTCTTTCTCATTAATTTGTGACTTTTGATAGTCACTATTTAGTTTTACTTCTCAAAAATGAATTCATTATATTTTAAACTAGAAACTTGATAACTTCCATCTTCAGTGAGATTTAAAATTTTTTTCTACCTCTCCACCCCACTAATCTCAGACACAAAGGGTTGAATTGAACATGCACCTCATTTCTTACCCTTCTATAGGCTTCTCTTGTTTTATGTGTTGATTGGTATATTCATTTTCTATTGTTGCTATAGCACATTATCATAAACATAGTGGCTTAAGCAACATAAATTTATTCTCTTACAGTTCTAGAGGTCAGATGTCCAAAATGGGTCTCACTGGGCTAAAATCAAGGTTCAACAGGGCTGCACTCCTTCTGAAGACACTAGGGGAGAATCTGTTTCCTTGCTTCCACCTTCTAGAGGCTGCCTGCATTCCTTGGCTTGTGGTCCCCTCCTTCATCTTCAGAACCAGACATTGCATCACTCCAGCCTCTGCTTCCATCCTCACATCACCTCGTCTATCTCTGACCACCATCCTCCTGCTGCCTTCTTTCACTTATAAAGGTTCTTGTGATAACATTTGACCCTCCAGGATTATTGCTCCATTTCATGATCCTTAATTTAATCACGTCTGCAAGGTTCCCTTTACCATGTAACATTCTTAGGTTCTGAGGCTTAGGACATGGGCATCTTTAGGGAGGGGAGGCATGATTCTGCCTGCCTACCACAGAATAGATACTGTGACTGCCCTTTACTCCCAGCTACCACAAGCAACACGGCAATGAGTGCCCTTGTACATGTGCCTTTATAGACCTTTCTGAGAATTTCTTGGGGATAAAGCACCCAGAAACAAGATTGCTATGCCATAGGGGTACAGGGTACGGTAAACATTGTTGATTTGACCAAATCCTGCCAGATCAGTCTCCAAAGTGGTTGCACGCTCTACCCAGTGCGTGAAATGTCCAATTTTCACGTATCCTCACCAAAAACTAAGAATATCCTACCTTCTTTTTATTTTTCTTAATTTTTGCCGTCTAATAGGTATAAAATGATATCAAGGTTGTTGGTTTTTTTTTAATTTTCAGGATTTTTTTTCCCTTTTCATAAATTTACTTATTTATTTATTTGTTTGTTTGTTTATCCTTGGCTGCGCTGGGTCCTCAGTGCTGCGGCCAGGCCCTCTCCAGTTGCAGCAAGTGGGGACCACTCCCCACTGCAGTGCAAGGGCTTCTCATTGCGGTGGCTTCTCTTTGTTGCGGAGCACGGGCTCTAGGCATGCGGGCTTCCGTAGTTGTGGCTTGGGCTCTGGAGCACAGGCTCAGTAGTTGTGGTGCACGGGCCTAGTTGCTCTGCGGCATGTGGGATCCTCCCAGACCAGGGATTGAACCCGTGTTCCCCGTACTGGCAGGCAGATCCTCAACCACTGTGCCACCAGGGAAGTCCCTATCAGTGTTGTTTTTATTTGCAATTTCTAATTATGAGTTTGAGCATCTCTTCATATGCTTATTATGCATTTGTGACTTCCTTTCTGAGAATTACCTGTTTATATTCTTTGCCCGTTTTTCTGTTGGGATTTCCATCCTTGCTTTTGCATATGCATAGTTTAGATGAGAGGATCTCAGCCTTGACTGTGTTTTAGAATTACCTGGGGAAATTTTCTTTTCTTAATGCCAGTGCCCAGGTCCCACTCCAGACCAATTAAAGTGAATCTCTAGGGACTTCTCTGGCAGTCCAGTGGTTAAGACTCTGAGGTCTCAACACAGGGGTTGCTGGTTTGATTCCTGGTCGGGGAACTAAGATCCTGCATGCAGCACGGCTCAGACAAAAAAACTAAAAAATTTAAAAAAAGAGAGAGGACTTCCCTGGTGGCGCAGTGGTTGACAGTCCGCCTGCCGATGCAGGGGACACGGGTTTGTGCCCCGGTCCGGGAAGATCCCACATGCCGCGGAACTGCTGGGCCCATGAGCCATGGCCACTGAGCCTGTGCGTCCGGAGCCTGTGCTCCGCAACGGGAGAGGCCACAGCAGTGAGAGGCCCGTGGATCACACACACACAAAAAAATACCACAAATTCTTTAACATTTCCCTCCTTTACAGAACCTAATATTCTTCCCCAGAGCGTAGGCTGTACTTAATGACTTGCTTCTAGCATAGAGAATATGGAGGAAATTACTTCCAAGGGAAGGCTATCAAAGGCTTTGTGTTTTCCATCTTTCTCTCCCTTGGTTCACCTGCCCTGGGGGAAGCCAGGTGCCATGTTCTGAGCAAACCCAAGCAGCCCTATGAAGAGATCCACATGGTGAGGAACTGGGGCTTCCTGCCAATAGCCATGCCAGTGAACCTTCTTAGAAGCAGATCCCCCAGCCCAGGTCAAGCTACCAGATGACTACAGCTCTGTCCAACATCTTGAGGGCAACTTCATGAGAGACCCTGAGTCAGAACCACCCAGCCAAGCTGCTCCTGACTTCCTGCCCCATAGAAACTGTGAGATAATGAAGTCTGTTGTTTTAAGTCACTAAGTTTGGGGTCATTTGTTACACAGCAACAGGTAACTAATACAGCTGCATAAGGGGATAGCTGAAGTAAGGTTTTGTGCCTTGAGGACACTCAAGAGCCCACGGATATATGTTGGCTGAGCCTAGGTAATTGCTAAGAAGTATAAGACTTATGGACATGAAGGCTGACATACATATTCATGCTCCTCATCAACACAGGAGCTGACGACTCAGCTAAAAGTAAATCACCAATAAGAGGGTCAAACTTAAACATGGTAGATGGTTTTGTTGTCATTAGACGAAGGGTCAGTTATCTGACCCAGGGTAATCTATTAAGTTGAACCATATGAAAGAGCCAATATGCAACCACTTTTGTTTGTTTTTGTTTTTGTTTTTATTTTGCGGTACATGGGCCTCTCACTGTTGTGGCCTCTCCCGTTGCGGAGCACAGGCTCCGGACGCGCAGGCTCAGCGGCCATGGCTCACGGGCCCAGCCGCTCCGTGGCATGAAAAAAAAAAAAAAAAAAAACAAAAGAGAGTGAGAGAGAATCTCTAGAGGTGGATTCCAGGAAACAGTATCGATTTTAAAGTTTCCCAAGTGATGCTAATATGCAGATAGACTTAAGAACCACCATTTGAACATTAATCTCTTTTAGTTTGAGACATTTCAAATGTTTTTTCCCAACCTATCATCTGGCTTTTAACTTTGTCCGTGGTATCGTCCAACCTCCAAAAATTTGATTAAATCAAATAGTTGACATTTTCATCCTATGGTTTGGTTTTCTAAGTTTTGTTAATATCTCTGCCCACACACACACCCATCCCCACCCCTCAGATCACAAAGATGCTCTTCTTTATTTTCTTCTACTACCTCTATAACTGCTCCTCATATTGACTCCACCAAGAGGCCGCTGTGTTACCATTTATGTATGGCTGTGTCTCTGAGCTCACTTCTGTCCCAGTCGTGACTTTGTTCTTATTCTAATACCATACTAATTTAATTACTATGGCTTTGTAGCATGTTTTAATCTACGGTAGGAAGAGTCCTCCCTCTTTGCTTTATCTATTCATGGGCCTTGTATAATTTCTTTTCCAGGCCTCCCAATTATATAGCTCTGGGCAAGAAACATAAAAGGGAATATCACAGCCATCTGTATTTTAAGTGAAAGAAAGGAATTTCATAGCCACTTGATTACCTCTTAATCTTAGTTCTCTTAGAAAAGACCTCCTGTTCCTTACCAACTTTCATCTGAGCAATTGGATATCCCTTTGAAACCATCCCAGACAGAAATGCAGCCCATTCTGTGATATAAAGTTGTTTTTAAAATTTACTAGAATGCAACTATCAAATACATTTAAAGAATACATACATCTGAAATTTCTCATGAAGCTATAGAAATTAATGTTTTACATTTAGATAATCTAATTTAGCAGAGCTAATGCAATCCAAAGAAATTAAGTTGTTTCCTGCTAAAAATAACTGTCTATGAGGATACATACTTGGCTTTCTATGTGTTTTATTACCTGGATCAGGAGAGTGGGACAAATTAATGGCCAGTCCTACCATGAAAAATTAGATTCCATATAGTTAAATCTGGCACCAATGTTGAGATTCTCCCTGGATGATGTGTGGTACTATTTTTCATATACTAGAAAAGCGTCTTTCTTTGAGTGATTTTGGTTACCATCCTTTTTCTTTTCAGTGCTTACCATGGTCACCTATCATCTTTAATTGAGATCAGTCCATATAAATTTCAAAAGGGCAAAGATGTCAAGAAAGAATTTGTGCATGTGGTAAGTATCTTGGAATCCAAGAATCAGAATGTTACTACTGGAAGAGTGCCCAGTGATAACCCAGTCCAATCCTTGCATTGAAATGAAACCATGAAAAAGGAAACTAAGATCTAGAGCAGTTACAGATCTTTAGCAAAGATCTGTTTGCTAGAGTCAAAGAGCTAGTTAATGACAAGATGTGGTTTAAAATCCACTGATGAGTACTGGGGCTTTCCTGGTGGCACAGTGGTTGAGAGTCCGCCTGCCGATGCAGGAGACGCAGGTTGGTGCCCCGGTCCGGGAAGATCCCACATGCCGCGGAACGGCTGGGCCCGTGAGCCATGGCCGCTGAGCCTGCGCGTCCGGAGCCTGTGCTCCACAACGGGAGAGGCCACAACAGTGAGAGGCCCGCGTACCGCAAAAAAAAAAAAAAAAATCCATTGATGAGTACCATACAAATCAGTATAGTGGTAGTGATAGCTCTTATTCACAGCTCTCATTTTATTTTTCTTGCCCCTTGGTGTTTAAATTACTTTTTCTATCGCTGAAGCCTATTTGAAACTCAGAGTTGTATCAAGTGTGTATGACTGTCTTAAAATTTCTCTATGCTAAATTGTTATGTAAATTTATTAAGTAAAATAAATATCATTTAATAAAGAAAATAAAGAAACCAAGCTGTTGAAACAGTAAAACTCATTTGGCTTAATTAAGGATCAGTAGACTTTTTTAAAAGAATCATTAATACATTCTTTCAAAATTTTAAGATCTGAAATTAGCGCTAAGGCACTCTAGTTTTCTGAATGATTACAGTTTACTATATAGTTGGTAAGTGTTTGTTTATTTTCGATATAGAACTGCTAATACAGTTTCCATTCATTGAAATTTTCAAATAACATAATCACACTTGTTGTTTGAATTTGTCCCTTATGTGACTAGGGATGCAATCTTGACTTCTAAGGGCCTAGGAGCAAACCCAAGCTCCTGTTCACAATGCAAAGATTTCAAGTCTCACAGAATTCAGAAATGTTAACGAAAAAGAACAAAAGAACCTAGAGTCACTTAAGTCCACGAGTCACCTTTCTACAGTATTATGCTCCTGGAGGGAAAGGCCCTTTCTTAAAAGCTCATTTGACCAGGAGACAAATCATGAGAAACTGTTATCTTTTGATGTTTTCAGGCACCAGCTCCAGATACGTACAGAGGAAAATACAGAGAAGACCATACAGACCCGGCCAGTGCTTATGCCGATGAAGTGAAGAAAATTATTGACGAAGCTCATAACAGTGGAAGGAAGGTTTGTATTTATAGCTTTGGAAACACTTTAGTATCTTTTATAAAATAGATTGAAATCATTGTGATACATTGGAGAGGTGGGAAAGGATTAGATCTCAAATCGCTTTCTGTTCTTCTCTAGTTACGTTTTTACTTAGTTCATATTTCAAATAGTACATTATTATAGTCATGCCCCTAAGACTATTTTTATTTATCCTGGAAATGTAATTACTATACCTGTTTCAGAACTGATGGTCTAATTCTGACCTTCCCACTGGGATGCAGACTCTGGTCCAAAGTGATAGGAGGAGAAAATTAAGAAAGGTGATAGCTCACGGACAGAACATTCCAACTGAGAGTAGCACGAGGGGCTAATATAAGGTGAAGGGAGGGAAGAGGCAGGGTGGCCCTGGGGCCTTGGGGCCACTGCAGACTCCTGGACCCAGGGAGCCTTGGCTTTTCCCTAGAACTGGGTCAACTTTCCTGAAGCCGAAGAGCCTGCGTAACACAAGGCAGGAAAATGTTCTTCCAATTTGGGTCTGCACTTCTAAAACAAACCAGAATCCTCCCAGCTAGGAAAAAAAGAGTTTCCATTTTCTCAGTCTTCACCCTACTGTCTTCAGCTTAACGGTAATTCTCAGCCCCTTCAGGCGTTACTTACATGGAGTTTTAATGTGATTTGACACATGCTTTGCCTTTCAATTGGCTTATGGCACCAACATGGTAATAAAAAAAACTTTTTAATTGGGATGAAAGTGAAGCCTGTGTGTTTTCCAGTTCAAGTATTCTTATCTTAATGACTGGAAAGTCATTTGCCTTTCTTAACTATTTCTTCTTTTCTTCCCATTCATTTTTCATATCTTAACAGAGGTAGTCTGGACTAGAACGTTAGTTCCCCCCCCCCTTTTTTTTTCTTAATTGAAATATAGTTGACTGCTTGACTTCTTATCTCATACTATTTCTATGCTTTCTCTTAATGTAGTGTTACTTATTTTTACTTCTCCTTTCTTGGCCTCTAGAACACATCCTCTTCAGTTCCTTTGTGAACTGCCTAATTTTGTTAAGTTGTAAGCCTGGTTCAGGGCAAGAACCAGAAATATAGCACAATAACTAAGGTTCGTGGCCACCAGTCACCCTCTCATCTCCTTAGTGCAAATTCCAGGTTCGGGCAGTCCTAATTTACCAAGCTGAGCAAACAGGCACCCCAGTGATGTGTTTGGAACCTGGGTAAATTTTTAGAGGTTCATATTAAAGACTAATCAAAACATCAGTCTTATTCAGTTGTTCCTAATGAAAACACTGCATTTAAATTAATAATGGAGAAATGGAAGGCACCCTCTCCACCATTTTCTCGTGATGGTTTCATTGGTACCCTAAAATTTCAGAAACTAATGCTTCAGAATTCTTGCATTTCCAGCGTGGACATCTTTTTAATCAAATGGCCAATTTGTCTCTTGCCATGGGTCCATTCCCAACCATTTTTTAAGTCACCTTCCTCGTAAGGAGTCCTCTTTTTTTAGGGGCTAACGGGAGGAGGACCTAATGGACTTTGACCCCATCTTCTCTTGTATAGATTGCTGCCTTTATTGCTGAATCCATGCAGAGTTGTGGCGGACAAATAATTCCTCCAGCAGGCTACTTCCAGAAAGTGGCAGAGTATGTACTTGGGCATCCTTGGTCAAACTGAAGGCACTGTGACAATTCTGTAGGGCCATCCTGGTTGTTAAGGTATTGAAATACTTCCAGACTAGCTGGTAAATAGCCACTTGGGAGTGCCTGCCACCCAGGACTCCTGGAACTCCTCCACCTTCCCAAGATCCAGCAAATAAAGGGTTTACACAAGGTCCAGCAGGGCAGCCTCCAGAGCTGTGCTCCCACTACCCACCTGGCATCTTCTCTGATTAGTTGGTGTCCAAGCTTGTCCTAATTAGTAAAAATTTGAAGATTAAACCTGCTGAA